ATCTAAAATGCGGATCGGGTGTTCGTCATAAGTGAGATCCTCCCAGAGTTGAATTGGTTCGGGATTAATGATGTGATTCAGGTCGGGAACATACTTCCGAAGTAAGGACACATGAAACACATCATGAACACCCGCTAGATTCCCAGGCAACTCCAATTTATAAGCTACCTCGCCAATCCTTTCCAAGATGGGATATGGTCCAATATACCTCGGACTCAATTTTCCCCGGATGCCAAACCTGAGAACACCTCGAGTGGGTGACACCTTCAAAAATACATGGTCACCAACTTCAAACTCAAGGTCTTGTCTCCTTCTATCCACATAGCTTTTCTGCCTGCTTTGTGCAACACGAAGGCGTTCCTTGATCAACTGCACAATCTCAGAGGATTGCTGCACCAATTCTGGGCCTAGAATGCTCCTTTCGCCCCCTTTCGCCCACTTCCGTCCAACAAACAGGTGATCTACACCTTCGACCATACAAAGCCTCAAACGGTGCCATGCGGATGCTGGACTGATAACTATTATTGTATGCAAATTCAGCCATGGATAAGTGTTGATCCCACGAACCCTTCCAATCTATAACACAAGCCCTCAACATGTCCTCAAGTATCTGAATAGTTCTCTCAGATTTCCCATCAGTTTGAGGATGAAAGGCCGTGCTGAAATTTAATTGAGTACCGAGTGCCTGCTGTAAGCTAGTCCAGAAATGAGACAAAAATCGGCAGAATACCCAAATCCACCCCCAAAGTATAGTGGCAGACCTCAGCCGCTTCTGCGCGACCTGCCAGCGTGCCCCAAGCACCAGTTTGTGAGGTTGCCGAGGTCGTACCAGCCACGTCATCTATGGCGGGGCCCAGGATTGCATACCCTGACGGCTTCAGTTACGTTAGGACAGAGTGCTAGGGTGCTATGCTGCAGGGTATGCAGAACTTTGTGCCCCCCACAGACTGGCTACGCGCTAAGGGGCACGTTCAGTAGCATGGTGGACATGCTGCCCTAATCAAGTTAATGGATGTAAGTATACTCGCCGAGCTCATTGTTGGTTTTATTATTTCGTGCTTATAACTGATAAGTGTATGTCTATGATACGCGTTCAGCTACACTGCCGCACTCTTCGAGTGCGAGTAGAGGGCCAAGGCTCAGAACAACGAGCTTCAACAGAGCTGCAAACAACTGGCCTCTGAGAAAGCTAGTTTGGCTGATGAGGTCAGTCGTTTGCAAAGCTCGGAGATGGCGAACCGAGCGGCGTCAACTGAAAGCTGAGCTGACGAGCTGGCTTGCAAGGTAGACGAGCTGAAGGAAAAGCTCCAACAGGCTCAGGTGGAGAAGGAAAGTGACATTCAAGCTGCTAAGGAAGAAACCGGACGTGCAGAGGACTGAGCTAAGAGGGCAGAAGCTAAGAGAGAAAGGACTCTGCACGAGCTGAGTGCCCTAAGAGAAAGGGTCTCTCAGGCAGACCAGCATGTCACCCGGGCTGAGGCGTCCCTGGAGAGCACCAAGAGGCTTCACCAGCGCGACGTTTGCTTTGCCCATGCATAGGGGGCTGAGTGGCTGGTGGGGGCAGAAATGTTCCAGGACACCGTTGCAGTCGCCTCTACCAACACCACCACGGACATTTTCAATGAGATTCGTGGGAAGCTGTTGCAAGTCCGGGCTGACTTCCCGATCGGCGAGTTGGCCTTCTACAAGGGCGAGGAGATCGATGGTGAAGGGAAGAGTCTCGCCCCTCCAGCAGATACCAGGGTGAGGCTGAAATGGGAGCTCAATGATGAGGGGCTGTCCGTGTGGCCCCCTGCTATAGTGGAAGAAGGGGAGGACA